ATAAAGACCTCACTTCATCAAAAGGTTCACATTTACCTTAACGCTCTCATTCCTTGTGCACAAACTTTTCCACACAGTCAACTTGGCTTTAAATCTATAAGCACACTTTCATTCTGTAAAATACTTCATCGTAAGACAACTAGCCCATCATCTGTCTCATATTACATGTTTTTATCTACGAAGATTTATTCTGATGTCTGTTGTTTATATCTCTTTCATCAAACTCAGCTTGTAAAAGCAGAGTTTAATTCTGATTAGATAGACAACCCAACAAATAATCAGACAAATTTTTTTTAGCCAAACACTATTTCATAAGCTTTTACATCTGCGCCAGTGTCACACTGCCTACATATTTTGTATAAATGTTACGATATTCCTGTCGGAAATGCTACAGCTAACTGCAGCTACTGCTATAATTTGTGTAAATAGCTGTGTAATATAAAAACAGTCAATCAACTCTTAAYGGACCTGCTTGAACTAGCTGTTAGTTTGTAAATTTAGTGAGAATTAAACTCTATTCCTCCAAACTGAGGTTGTCCTGAAAGCTATCTATGACAGGTAAGATGATGACTGTTMATTGTTTCAAAGACAAAAGAAACAATTGCTTTAGAGCTTCCCTCAATTAAAAAGTCAGGATCTGTGGTTTTTGTTAGTTTTGTAACATTGTTTTTTCCCATATTTTAATCAGTTCTTGTGTTTCCTTTATGCCATCAGTCACTTCTCCCTCCTCGTCAGTCTTGACACACCCCTGCACCTCCCTGTTTCACCGATCACAGCTGCAGTCACTCTGCCTCATTGGTCTGTCCTCACTGACATCTCTTTGTGAAACTGAATGGCAGACAGCTTATTAAATTCAGTCCTAAAAGAGGAAAAGCTACTTTTTTTCCAAATAATTTGATCAGATCAGKTTTAGGAGGATAAATACCATCATAACATAAATGACCTCTTTCCAAATTCAAACTCAGATCTCACCACACTTAAGATACAGTCATCAGGATAAGAATCCTTATCTCTAAATCAATATGTTATACAGTAAATGAGTTTTAATTACAGTAAGCCTCAACTATGAAAAGATCAATTAAACAACAAACAAAATCTAATTGAATTAAATAAAAACAAGCCCTTAGAATAAATAACATAATTGATAAAGACAGTTGTTTTCAAAGCATTCAAACAGTGACAAACTTTGTTCATTCTGACTTTATTAGCCTAAAAATATAAAAYATGAGGTGAAGAATTTGATACATAAAGCCTACATAAAGTTGATTATTTTCCACACATGTAAAGCAACTTATTCTTGAGGGGTTTCCTCGTTTCTAAGAAAACACATCTGACCGCAGATGCATCTGGAATAAATCGGTAACAGTAGGCATCAGGACAGGTTTCTTTATTGTTCCTCGGTCGTTCCATCTGAGACAGGCTCCTTTTCATCAGAACACAGGTCTGAAACAGGAAAAGAATCGAGTCTTGTCAGCTGAAAAAAAATATTTTTGTGTTCGAGGTAAASACAGAGTCTCACCTGTGGTGTCTGGAAAGTAGAAATCCGGTGAAAGGTTCAGACACTTTGCCTGCTTCTTGAAAACTTCCAGATGAGATGCATCCAGCTTGTCCTTCTTTGCTGAAAGAGGTTAAAGTGATTTTACAAAGCTGTCCAAAACATTTACCACATTTTTTATAAACTGAAGATGAATGTTCCAAACAGTCAATCAAAAAAAGATTAGGACATTTGCTTACTTAAAAGGCAAAGGTTCTTGCTTTTCTTGGACACCCCGTCCACCKCCATCACCGCCTCGTCCTTCCAGAGGAGGCAGTCGGGACACGTCTCCAGAAACCTCCCAATGTGCTCATAAGAAGAGGAGTTATAGTGAACTAAATAAAACAGAACAGAGAGTTACTCTTTTACAACCATTTAGAGAATTGCTTATATTTTTAAGCACTTACAAACATCTACGTACACATCACCTTGATGGAGTTTCCTGAAGTGGTGGAGTTAGCAGCTCCAGGAGTGCATTTTCCATCACTTTTAAAGAGAAGCCAGAAAAAAAAAACAACAGAAAAAGTTTTAATTTTTGTTATAAAATACTTTCTTTACTTAGTGACTTTGAAGGTAAATATGATATTTTTAATTATTATTACTTTTATTGTTTTTTAAAGATAAATGCTTACATTTTGTCCACATAATGCATGCTGAAGTCATCACTGCCAGGTATGGGGGAGATTTGCACCCAGGAGCTGTTGGCAACTTTTATTGCTTTCAGGTACTCTTCACTGTCTGACCCCGCAGCATAAAATATCCATTTTCCATAAATCTATAAGAACAGATGGATACAAATGGAACACATGGGATTCTGGAGAACTCGATCAGTGACTTAAAACAACAACTCAATGCTTTACACTGTCAGTGCTGAGAGCTACGTACCTTGGTTTGATCCTCCAGAGGTTTAAGCAGCTCATCGCAGCCGGGATCAGACGCAGCAGTCAGAGAGGAGAAAGCCAGCAAAGCAAAAATAAACGGAGCAAACATGTTGGGATGTCCAGATACGACCGAGTAGATTCTACAGCGTGAACTGGACAACTGAGCTCATGCAGGAGGGCCTAGATAAAGACTTAGGAGACAATGTGTTATGTAACTTTAGGGAGAGGGGTCTGAGGTGGGACGGTCATGCAACAACGTGACAGTGTGATATAATGGTTCAAACATCAGCAGGGATAAAAGTCTGCACCCAGTAAACTGGCTCTTTACAACAAATATTCCATTTATTGCTAATGTTACCTTTCCAGATACACAGGCTGCCCATCCTGGCACATATGCACCCCAATACAGTTAGAGAAGCCGAATTTTGAATCGAGTGCTGATAACAGGCTGAATGATCCTATCTGTAGTTTTCAAAAAGAATTTCCAAGTTTAATTTGTCTGAACACACAACAGTTTTCTACTTTGCCTCAGAACACTTTAATACTTAACTTTTGCATTAACTTTAGCACAATAACTTTTTGGGGGTGGAAGAATTGACCACTAGTCAATTTGTTCAATAYTTTAAAGTTATTTCAGCCTGTTACATATGTGATCAAATTTAAGTGGCTTTATTTTAGCTGCTTAAGAGACTTTAGCTTTACAAAACTAAACAAATCCTTTTTTAATCCACTATTTAATTATTTTATGGCAATTTTGAAAAAGTGCAAATTTCCCCCTTGGTGAAATCCATCTATCCATCCATCTTTTTTCCACTTCTTCTGCTCACAACCTTCCCTGTACGACCGGTGTCAGAGCTTGGTCCGCATTGCCGAAAGTAAGTCAAAACCATTTCCTGTGAAAGTTGGACTCCACCAAGGTTGCCCTTTGTCACCGATTCTGTTCATAACTTTTATGGACAGAATTTCTAGGCACAGCCAAGTTGTTGAGGGGATCCTTTTTGGTGAACTTAGGATCACATCTCTGCTTTTTGCAGATGATGTGGTCCTGTTGGCTTCATCAGATCGTGATCTCCAGCTCTCACTGGAGCGGTTCAAGCCGAGTGTGAAGCAGGGGGATGAGGATCAGTGCCTCAAAATCTGAGACTATGGTCTTGAGCTGAAAACCAGTAGGGTGCCTTCTCCGATTCGGGGAGGAGGTCCTGCCCCATGGAGGAATTTAAGTATCTCGGGGTCTTGCTCATGAGGGAAGAATGGAGCGGGAGATTGACAGGTGGATTGGTGCTGTGTCTGCAGTGATGCGGGCGCTGTACYGGTCTGTCGTGGTGAAGAGGGAGCTGAGCCAGAAGGCAAAGCTCTCAATTTATCAGTCGATCTATGTTCCTACCCTCATCTATGGTCACGAGCTTTGGGTAGTGACCTAAAGAACGAGATCGCGGATACAAGTGGCTGAAATGAGTTTCCTCCACAGGGTGTCTGGGTTCTCCCTAAGAGACAGGGTGAGAAGCTCAGTCATCTGTGAGGAACTCAGAGTAGAGCCGCTGCTCCTCCACATCGAGAGGAGCCAGTTGAGGTGGTTCATCTGGTTAGGATGCCTCCTGGGCGAGAGAAACCTCACCCTGGTGAGGTGATCTGGACATGTTCCACTGGGAGGAGGCCCAGAAGAAGACCCAGGACACGCTGGAGGGACTATGTCTCTCGGCTGGCCTGGGAACGCCTTGGGATTCCCCCGAGGAGCTGGAAGAAGTGGCTGGGAAGAGGGACGTCTGGGTCTCTAGGCTGCTGCCCCCGTGACCCGACCCCGGATAAGTGGAAGAAGATGAATGAATGGATGAAGATGGATGGGTGGATGTTTACTCATGTACAACAGAAATGTATTTTTGCTTTTTACATCTGAACTAAAATAAGTTAAGATAAGATGAAAGAAGCAGCAACCTACAGCTGCCAAAGAGACACCTTTTTGGGCAGGATGCTCTCCTTTATGTGATTATTTATTCTTTAAACAGATTAACTTTAAATCATATGTTGGTATTTGAGCATCATTTTAATGGTCCATCAAATAAATCACCTGCACTGTAAAAATAACTTGTAAGATTTACTAGAGAAAATCCTGTAAACGATTTGCACTAGCATTTGGTACATAAATTTAAATGCTACAAATTCATGTGATATTTACTCTCATCATTATCTAGTAAAAGTTATTAAGAATATAGTTAAAGATTTGTGAATAAATCAGGTAAATTTTAGTTAATTTGCTAAATTAAATCTTGTAACATTTATATTTGTGGCATTGAATTAGAGACCTCTTTGCACTACTTAGGCAACTACTTATTTTATATCCATCCCCATTCACCATAACCATAACCATACAACCACCCCCAAGCAATGTTGCAACTGTCCCCAGCCCCGGGTCAGTTGCAACATCCGACTTTTCATTTTCAAATGCATATTGTGAAGAACGTACATGCTTTAATCATYTATAAATGCTTCTGACTATGAACAGACAGATGTAAGTTTATTGTTTTAAAATTTGGTTTGCCTAATTCAAACCATCTCTGAGTAACAGAGTCAAATGCAAAAAGTGTTGCAACTGTCCCCGGTCTCCCTACCTTGGTTTGATCCTCCAGAGGTTTAAGCAGCTCATCACAGCCTGGATCAGATGCAGCAGTCAGAGAGAAAGTCGGCAGAGCTAAAATAAACGGAGCAAACATGTTGGGATGACCAGTGACAGCTGAAGAGCTTCTTCAGTGTGAACTGGACACCTGAGCTCATGAAGGAGGGCATATAGGAGACAATGGGCCTCATGCAAGAACATGTTCGTATTCTTATCCTAAATTTCTCTTACTTTTGTTCGTACAAAGGGTTCGTATGAACATGTCACGTCAGATTCAACAAACACTTCTATCTTCAGGAAACGTGC